ACTTTGCTCCAGACCCTCCAGCCATACAGGTGGTGTTGTCATGGTGACGAAAGGAAAATAACTGCAAAATAATGTATTTCATAATCCAATCCATTTAAAAGTCAAACCAATGAAAATCCAGCAAAACACACGACAAAAAGTAAAGAAATAGGGAGTGAAGGAATGCTCAGGGTTTCAGAACAAGAATAACGAGGCACAGGTGAGACACGTGAGGGCGGGGCTGGTCATCGGGAAACAGGAACTACAACTACAGAAGAGGAAACCAATCCAAACCATGAGAGGTACAGAAGAAATAAATACATTTGTTAATTTTTCTATCAGTCTTAAAGATGCAGTGGGATGCGTTTACCCCCTTCACCCTCTTCCTGTGTCTCGCGAGTGCACCGGAGTTATCGGAATTTCTAAAACCTAAAATGGCTGAACAGAAAATGCCAATTTCACGTTTGCCACCCACTCTCCCTGTTGTGACAAAGAAAAGAAAATGCTGGATGTTTGGTTTGGTGGAGAGGCGAGGGGAGGGGGGAGTGGTTTCCAGTTGAATCTACGGCTAAGCTAACAACATCGCTTACTGCATCCTTAAGTCACTTTTGTGCTATGTTAACATGTATGGGCGTTGGTCATCTGCCCCTTATGGACCTATGACTCTATGCTTTATTATTTTTTATCATTGAACTGTTGGTTTCTCTGATCTGTGTTGGCAAATCAACGGTTTTGTCAAGTTTGCTAAAGTCAGAGATTTTGAACTTAATTCTTGCTTGTTCATTATGCTAAAGTTGGAGATTTTTTTGCTTCCTTATTTTGCTAAATCTAGAGATTAAATGTTAATGTTATTTCATTTAGTAGAGAGTTATTTAGAGTTATTGTTCATTTGTTTTGTGTTGTGTGCTCCTCATTCCTACTGTTCTGTAACTGGTAATGCAACACTGACATTTCCCCGACTGTGGGACGAATAAAGGATAAGAGTGAGGTCTACGTGCACATCCAAATCTAAGTAGTGTGCAAAAAGGCAAAAATAGTATGATAAAAAAATGACTCTGCACAGCTTTATCTCCGGGGAGATTATTTTATTAGCACCAAAAGATGTGACGTTTTGGGCATACACCACCTTTTAACAGACAAATAATGGATTTCTTAAAAAGTTCTGTGATTCAGGGAAATACAACAAATACATTGAACAGAATTGTAACATATTTTCCGGAGACTGGGTCGATTTTGCAAATATCTCCCGTGTTTCTTTCCAACCACCAAGAAAAATAGGGTTGGGTTTAATTGATTGTAAAGAAACTTTTTTCCACATAACTAACTTGTAGGATTTGATTGACGCAAATTAAATGCAACAATGTACTTTTAATTGGCTTTTTTAATCAAATCCAACGTGACTGAGTTAAGTGGAAAATGTTACTTATTTTTTACTTAAAGTTGTCATCTAAATTTGAAACAATATTTTCTAGCATACACAGACTTTATATAGATGTACATTGCAAACATGCTCGCTTATTGGAACCTAATAGAGAAGTGCTCATGGCCGAAGTTGTACGTCTATACTGTCTTTATCTCTACTTTCATTGGAACATAATTACTTTTATTTATGTTATTTTTGTATTTGATAAGTGGTATTTTATTGTTTTTACTTTATACATCATATTTGTTTTTTATTCTATTTTTGATACATCTAAAGCTAGTAAACCTGTATATTTAAATGTGTGACTCTTATCTCTGTGCAGCACTATAAATGTGCTATATATATAAAGTGGATTGGAATTAATACCAGACTCACCATTTTAATCATAAACATCTATATCTGCCAACAATGATTATCCTGTACTGTCCTTTGATATTATGCAAATACAATGAGTTTCACACTATTCAGAATACAGGTCTCTGATTCTCTTAATATGTAACAAAACATAATTTAATGCGTAGGTTTCCTCCGGGTGCAACAGGTTTCCCCTACCACTAAAAACATGGACAATAGTCAAATCCTCCAGCTCCCAAGCGCACCAAGCCAAGCATCAACATCTAATAATAATAATAATAATACATCAAACTTGTATAGCGCTTTCTTGGACACTCAAAGACGCTTCACATGGGGAGTAGAATACAATAATAAAAAGGGGTTTACGGAAAAGCTTGTTTGAAAAGATGGGTTTTGAGTACAGATTTAAAGTTAGATAGTGAGTCAGAGTTTCTAATGAGCAATGGGAGTGAGTTCCAGAGGGTTGGGGCGGCAATGGCAAAAGCTCTGTCCCCCAAGGTTCGGCGGTTAGTGCGGGTGATGGGGGTGAGGAGGTTGGAATTGGCTGAGCGAAGGTGGCGGGTGGGTTGGTGCTGCTGTAGGAGCTCAGTAAGGTAGGGCGGGGCCAGGTTATGGAGGGACTTGTAGGTGAGGAGGAGGAGCTTGTAATGGATGCGGTATTGAACGGGGAGCCAGTGGAGGTGCTGGAGGACAGGGGTGATGTGTTCTCTGGACCGGGTGTGGGTGAGGAGGCGGGCTGCAGAGTTCTGGATGTATTGCAGTTTTTGGAGATGAGTGGTGGGGAGTCCGTAGAGGAGGCTGTTGCAGTAGTCGAGTCTGGAGGTGATGAATGCGTGGATGAGGATTTCGGCTGTTGACTGGGTAAGGGAGGTGCGGAGGCGGGCAATGTTGCGGAGGTGGAAGAAGGAGGTTTTGGTGATGTGTTTGATGTGGGTTTGGTATGAGAGGGTGGAGTCCAATATGATGCCAAGGTTGCGTACAGAACATGAGGGGGTGACAATGTGACCGTCAATGAGGAGGGTGAGGTTCTGGACAGAGGGCAGGAGAGTTTTGGGGCTGATGATGAGGAGTTCTGTTTTGTTACTGTTGAGTTTGAGAAGGTTATTGTCCATCCAGGTTTTAATGTCGAAGATGCAATTTTCGATGGTGGAGCGAATAACCGGGGTGATGGATTTGGTGGAGATGTAGAGTTGCGTGTCGTCGGCATAACAGTGGAAATGGAGCCCATGATGGCGTATGATCTGACCGAGGGGAAGCATGTAGATGGTGAAGAGGAGAGGGCCGAGCACGGAACCTTGGGGGACACCATGGGTGACGGGGGAAGTGTGGGACTTGCAGTTGTTGACAGACACGAAGTGGAGACGATTGGAGAGGTAAGAGGTGAACCAGAGGAGTGCTGTGCCAGAAATGCCAATGGATTGTAGACGGTGGAGGAGGATGGAATGATCTATTGTGTCAAATGCAGCGGAGAGATCGAGGAGAAGGAGGATGGATAAGGAACCAGAGTCGGCAGCGAGGAGGAGGTCGTTAGTAACTTTGAGAAGTGCCGTTTCTGTGCTGTGGTGTGAACGGAATCCAGATTGAAATGTTTCGAAGAGATGGGAGGAGTGGAGATGTTGGTGGAGTTGGTTGATGACGGCGCGTTCCAGGATTTTTGACAGTAACGGGAGGTTGGAGATGGGTCGAAAGTTGTCCAAGTTGTCAGGGTTGAGGCCGGGTTTTTTCAGGAGGGGTGTGATGGAGGCTAGTTTGAGCGGGGAAGGGACAGAACCAGAGGTTAGGGAAGTGTTGATGATGCGGGTGATGAGAGGGATGAGAGTTAGTTGACAGGTTTTGAGGAAGGAAGATGGGATTGGGTCAAGCTGGCAGTTGGAAAATTTCATGGTTGAGAGAAGTTTGATGGTGTCAGAGGGAGAGAGGGGGGAGAAGGAAGGAAGGCTATGGACTGTGAGTGCAGTGGGTTCAAGTTCGGAGTAGGGAGAAGAGGAGGAAGTGGAGGCAAGTGAACAGTGTATGGTATGGATTTTGGTATGGTAGAATGACAGGTAGTTATTGCATTTGTCTGTAGTGAAAGTGGAGGTTATATTGTCCTTGGGTTTTGTCAGATTTGCAAAAGTTGAGAATAGGGTGCGGGGGTTGGAAGAATTTGAGTGGATGAGTTGTGAATAGTAGTTGGACCGGGCAGTTTTGAGAGCAGAGTTGTATGTGGTTGTGGCTTGTTTGTAGGCTTGTGCATGAACGAGGAGACCAGTTTTTATATGGAGCCTTTCAAGTTGTCTCTTTTGTTTTTTGAGACTGTGGAGATCTGGGGTATACCAAGGGGCGGAGGTAGAGAAGGAGACTGAGGCAGTTTTCATGGGGGCAATTTGGTTGAGGCAGGAGGAGAGTGTGTGGTTATAGAAAGTGACTAGATCAGAGGCAGATGGATCTGAAGGGAGGGAAGAGCTGGATAGGGCATGGGATATGGAGGAGGAGAGAGATATGGGACAAATGGACTTAAGATTTCGGAAAGTAATTGTTTGTGTCTGTTTGGTGGTGGGAGAGGGGGTAATTATGTCCAGGGTGATGGCCAGATGATCAGAAATGGTCAGGTCGGTGAGTGACAGGTTGTGTATGGTGAAGGAGGGGGTGGAACAGACCAGATCCAGGATGTGTCCATGGTTGTGTGTGGGTGAAGTGACGTGCTGGGTGAGGTTGAGGCAGTTTAAAATGTCCAAAAAGTCAGATGTAAATTTAACTGTAGGGGAGTCAATATGAATGTTGAAGTCACCAAGGAGGAGAACGGATGGAGAAATGGAGGACAGCTGAGTTACGAAATCGGTAAAATCTGAGAGAAATGATGAACAGGTTTTGGGAGGGCGGTAGATGACTGCAGCAATGAGTGATTGGGAACCGGGGAGTCTGAAGGCCAAGTGTTCGAATGAAGATACAGCTGGGATGGAGATGGGGCGGAGGGAGATGTTGCTGCGGTGGATGACTGCAATGCCACCTCCTCTCCGGTCTAGGCGCGGGTTATCGATGTAGGAATATCCAGGTGGGGTGGTCTGATTTAATGTGGTGTATTCCATGGGTTTGTGCCAGGTTTCAGTGAGACAAAGTATGTCCAGTTTATTGTCAATGATGAATTCACAGAGGAGCAGGCTTTTATTGCTGAGTGACCGTGTATTGAATAGTGCTGTTTTTAGAGGCTTTTGTTGTGAAGTTTGTGTGGCAGAAATTGGGACAGACAGGAGGTTTGATGTAGTCACGTGATGAGTGCTCGGATGACGTATGCGGATGTTGTTGGAACCAAGCCGGTGTGAGCTGCGCATGGATCTGCAGGCGGACCAGACAGAGGGAATATTGCTTTTGCCTGTGAAATTGAAGACAAGATTGCGACGGGACCCTCGGTGGATGTAGGGGCGACGGCGGACAAGACAGTGTTGTTGCAGAGTTGAGGTGATGTCCAGTGAAGGAGGTACGCGGTGGTTGAGTCTGATGAGCTGTGAGGACGTGTAACGAAGCGTCATGGACGGAGCCGGTGTTGACAGGAGCCGCAGAGAGGCCAGCAGGAAAGCCACGAACAGTAGCCGCATAGCTGACTGGCTGCTCCGGGGTGCAGGCCGGCCAGTAACCGGGTTGTAATCCACTGATTGAGAAGAGAACAGCGTGGCTTGGCCGGAGGCAGCCCCGGGAGCAAGCGTGATGGTGGGCACAGCAGGGACACACCGTGACAGGCTGTGACAGGCGGCAGACGCGGGCAACCAGTCAAGGAAACAGTCCAGGCGCCGAGGCAACATCAGACACCACCGACACCAGGCAAAAATCGGTACGTTAAACCGCTTACTTTTCTCGCATCCGGGTGTCATTCTTCAATCTATCTGGAGATAGGTTCCCGGGCGCTGTTACTACGGCGACCACTGCTCCTGACGTATGCCTTAGTGGTGTCAGGATGGGTCAAATGCAGAGGAAGAATTGCCCTGCGGGGTGATGCGTCCCTGAACGTAGCGCGCTGCAGGCAGAGGTTTGGCGCGGCTCAATGGGTGATGGTGCACCTGATGGAGAAGCTCTGCTCATAAGACACACTCCACACGCGCGTGCATGTGAGCGCGTTCTGGAGACTCAAGTTTTACACTACCTTCCCTACCCCTTTTCCCCCTTTTTTATTTTTATGAAATAATAAATGAATAAATAAATAAATGAACTTTTGAAGTTCTGTCCACACTCATTACAAAGTGGGGCCGAAACCCTGCGATTCCGGAGAAAGACGAAGAAAAATAATCGGTCTGGACAAACACAGAAAAGTCATGGCAGAATGTACAGCAATGTCACGTCTGAGAAGAATGAGGGGAACGGTACGAAGTTCAGAGACAAAGATTGAGGCTGAACTAAGAAAGGATCCGTCAGATCTTTATGTCTTGGAAGAATATATAGTGCCTTGCGAAAGTAAGAATCTGCAGTTCATCCAGAGTGATCATGGGCCTCTTGACTGCATCTCTGATCAGTCTTCTCCTTGTTTGAGATGAAAGTTTGGAGGGACGGTTGGGTTTTAGTAGATTTGCAGTGGTCTGATACTCCTTCCATTTCAATATAATTGCTTGCACAGTGCTCCTTGAGATGTTTAAAGCTTGGGAAATCTTTTTGTATCCAAATCCGGCTTTAAACTTCTCCACAACAGTATCTCGGACCTGCCTGGTGTGTTCCTTTGTCTTCATGGTTCTCTCTGCGCTTTAAACAGAACCCTGAGACTATCAAAGAGCAGGTGCATTTATACGGAGACTTGATTACACACAGGTGCATTCTATTTATCATCATCAGTCATTTAGGACAACATTGGATCATTCAAAGATCCTCACTGAACTTCTGGACTGAGTTTGCTGCACTGAAAGTAAAGGGGCCGAATAATATTGCACGCCCCACTATTCAGTTTATTATTTGTTAAAAAAGTTTAAATTATCCAATACATTTCGTTCCACTTCACGATTGTGTCCCACTTGTTGTTGATTCATGACAAAAAATTAAAATTGTATATCTTTATGTTTGAAGCCTGAAATGTGGCGAAATGTTGAAAGGTTCAGGAATACTTTCGCAAGGCACTGTAAGGCACTGTATGGAACAGTTGATTGTAAAAGAACAAACATTGACGGATTATGACAAGACATTGAAGCGGAACAGTGGAAGATGAATTAGAGGCAGAAGTGACCTCTACATTGGATTATATGGATGTATTAAACTTGAGGAGAACAAGAATAAGACGTGCTTTAAGGGCTTGACACACGGGAGGCGACATCGCATCGCCTCCATTCATTTTCAATGGGACGTGCGCGACATAGCGTCAATCGCCAGCGAGCCTCCTGCTCAGCGACGGGTGAAAAACGTGCGTGTGAAATCCTCCTGCTCGTGCATGTATCGTGCACGCGCAGGTCAGCGACGCAATCCCAGAAAGTTGAAATCGGCTCAACTTTTCGACGCTGTCGTCAAGCCGCATCGCGCCCCGTCTGTCATGTTATCTGAGCGACAGCGTTGAGTTTCGCTGATCGCTCTCATTTGTCGCCTCCCGTGTGTCGAGCCCTTGACGCACAGAGGATGACGCAGCCAGTATAAGTAAATCTGGACACGGAAACACTGGCCAATGAAACAATACAATCAAACTCCCCAAACTGGTCATACAAACGTTTTCTGGGGATATAAGCGAGTGGCAAGTATTTTGGAGTCAATACGGAAAGGCAATTCACAACAACGAATGTTTGATTAAACAAGTAAAGTTACTTGAAATCATTTCTGACGAACACTGTGGCGAGCGCTGTAGCAGGACCTGCACTCACAGAAGAAAATTATGACAATCGAGATGCTTAAATGTCGCTTTGGACGTAAAGATTTGGTAAATAATGCTCACATAAATAAATTGCTGAATATGACTCCAGTAAAACGAATAAATTATATTGTGTTACTGCGCAAATTATTGATGATTGTGAAGTGCAGGTGCTTGACGCGCTGGGCATCGTGTCTGATACTTATGGAAGTCTTTTATGTCCAATATTGTTGAAAATGATTCCAGAGGAAATAGCGCTGGAGTTCACACGTCTAAAGACAACCTGCTGAAGGCCAAACTAATGGAGCTTATGAAACTGGAAGTGGAAAGCAGAGAAAGAACACTGAATATGACTCAAATAAAAGACACTCCTCAATTGGACAAATATTCAAAAAGAATACAGAAAATGGAAGGTCCCAAGAGATGCTGCCAACGTGCCGTCAGCTGCAACATTTCACAAGTCAAAATGAAGTAAGTGAAGGTTTATGTTGTGGACAAACAAAATCATAAATCATCGGAATGTTCTGAATTAACCATTGAAACAAGATGAGAAAATCTGAAGCGAACAGGTGGATGTTTTGTGTGCTTAGCACCCAGACATATTGCACGTAATTGCAGAGCGCACGGAATAAAATGTGACATCTGTGGACATCGTCATTATAAATCTGTTTGCATCAATCACACACATGCCAGAAAAAAATGACAATGAATCATTCCAAGCCACAGGCCACACCGTAGTGTCCGCATTTCTGAGCAACTTTAAAGGAAAAACTGTTTTGCTCCAAACTGCAACCATTTGGATAGATGCGCTTCGACAGGGCCAACTAACAAAATGCTTATTGGATGGAGGCAGTCGGCGCAGTTTTATCCGTGAAGACATATCAAGAGCACTAAATCTGCCAGTTGTGGGATCGGAAATAATAAAGCTACATGTGTTGGTTCTGTTACGCATAAAAAACTGACTGCAAGAAAAGTGAAAGCGAATCTGCGCAATCTCAAAACCAATGAAAGCGTCCAAGTGGAGTTATTGGAAACGCCCACAGTGTGCTCCTCAAAGGTGAAAGCAGCGAATGAACAAATAAGACAAAGTTTGGAAAACAAAGGATTTCAAGTCGCCGATACGCCAGTGAGAGGCATGGACACGGAGGAGCTTGGATCATTGATCGGAGGAGATTATTATTGGGACATTCTAACCGGACGAACAGAGAGATTGGAAAAGGGGCTCGTGGCGTTAGAGAGTAAATTCGGGTGGCTCATTCAAGGGGTTGTGACTGTCCCAGTGATGAATGTGACAACTGAACCCATTGAAATTGATGTTTTGTATTTAAGTATTGGATAAACTGAGTCACTAGGAATGAATATGGACACTGACAAAAACCCGGACATTGACACGTTAAAACAATTTGAAAGTTCAATAAAATTTGACCAAGGCAGATTGGACCATGGAAGGACAATGTGCTCGATTTATCAAACAGTTACAGCACGGCAATAAATCGGTTGAACAACTTGGCACGCAGATTCCAGAAACACGATGACTTATTCTACAATTATGACGTGATGAGCGAATATTTATCTGAAGGAATTATTGAAAAACTAAATGAATTGACGACGGAAAATCCAGTTTATTATTTGCCGCATCACCCAGTAATAATGCACAACAAAGTTAGGCGTTGTGTTCGATGCTTCTTCACATGAAAATGACAGACTTTTGTTTTGTTGTTTTGTTTGTTTGCACACAGGTCGCAGTGATGGCGGATGTGACAAAGGCATTTCTACGAATCTCTTTGAACGAAAAGGGTCGAGACGTGTTAAGTTTTTTGTGGCTGGAGGAAAAACCCACATCTCAAGGATCAAAGCTGTGCACAATGAGAATGACGCGAGTGCCGTTCGGTTTGTCATCAAGTCCATTTCTGTTGGACGCCACCATCTGACACAATCTGAAACTGTATGAAAATATTTATCCAAAGGAAGTACAAATATTGAACGAATGTCTTTATGTGGACGATTTAATAACTGGTGTTGAAACTGTCGATGAAGCCGTAAACTTCTCAAATAGAGCGAATGAAATAATGGAAGGAGCGAGTATGAAACTCTGCAAATTCATTAATTTAGCAAAATGTAGGGGCTCAAAATAAGGATGCAGAAACTGTGTCAATAAAGGGACAAAATCCGTTAAATGTTTTGGGACTATGTTGCAAAGTGACGAATTCATGTTTGAAACGGATGAATTAATAGAACAATTAAAACACAAAAATGACACTAAACGTGGCGTGCTTCAGACGGCCGCACGTATATTTGACCCAATAGGAATGCAATTATTACACACAAGGAACTGCATGTATTTACAGATGCGAGTGAAAGAGCATATTGTGCTGCAGTTTATCTAAAATGCACAAACTCAAACGGACAATGCACTGGTAGTCTAGTCGCTTCAAAGACAAAAGTCGCATCGTTGAAAAAACAACAGTTTTTCTCAGTCACTTTGGTGCATTTCTCACATCAGACTTAAAAGTTCTCAAAACTATTAGTTCAACCTCCACAAGATTGAGTCATGTGTGACATCATCATGGTAGTTTCTCCTCTGAACACATTACAAATGCTTTTGTTCATGTATCAGTTACTTTCATACAATTCTCTGCTGTTTTTTAACATTTGCTTCTGTCCTGTCAGTCAAAATGAAACATACTTATAACTTCTGAATAGTCATTCACTATAAAACCAATAGTCCTCATTTCATCGCTTTGGTCATCACATACAACATTGTTGAACTAGTTCAAAATCATATTTGTCAAGCTAATTTCATACATTCCTTTATCTTTTTTTTCCTGTAAATCTTTCCTAAATTGAACATTTTCTCTCAGGTGAATTTCAGCTTCACTCTGAGGTGTGCATTATTGTTTACATTTGTCACAGTTCTATCATAATGATATTCTGTATGTTTGTTCTATGTGTAAGTGATTGTATTTTTGTTGCACAATGCTGTAGAATTACAAAGAGCATATGCAGTAAATATGTGAAAGACATGCAGTACACATACATACATACATACAGTACATACATACTGTACATACATATACATACAGTACATAGATACACACATACATACATATGTCAGTTACGTCTCTAAATACAGCCTTTGTGTAACTTAACTGTAGTTTTTACTGTAAATGGCTGTACAGGTCGTGTATAGTGTGTCGTGCTCAAGTGTTCCCGAGATCTGACTTTTTACATTGAAAACACAGAGAGAGTAAACTTTCACAATGAAAACATGACTAATTCATGTGACTGTTGTTCATAAACACTGGTGTCAAGACTTATTATTTTGACGACACAGACAGTTTCATTAACATGAAGACTTGCTTTTGAGGAATTAACTTTTTATTTTGAGAAAGTGATGCACTTTTGCAGGTTTCCCACGAGGTTTTGCAGTTTGCACTAATTGTTCTGAGTAATGCACTAACTGTTGTGCAAATGTGAAGAATGATGTGAGAAATGCACCAAAACTGTAATGGATGCATTAATTGGTGCTAGGCTTGGAAAAAACGTCAGAATAAATTAAAAAATGACAGAAAATGAAATGTATTTCTGGACAGATTCTATGATTGTTTTTCATTGGATTCGAAGCAGCTCATCGTAGTGGACAGAGTAATGGAAATCCAAAGTTTGACATTGCTGGAAAACTAAAGACATTGTGATGGAAGGTACAATCCCGCAGACCGTGGGACGCGTCGCATTAGAGCAGGCACTGCATGAGGAGGACCTGTGGTGGCACGGGCCGGAGTGGCTGTTAAAAGACTTCTGTTGCAGTCAGACGGAGAAAATGGACGATATACCAGAATATGTTGTGGAAAATGTAGTCACGGAATTCGCTCTAACTTCACAGCCCTTGTTTGATTTATCAAAATACAGTGCGCTCACCAAGACTCTGAGAATAACTGCATGGATGCTGCGCTTCATAAGAAACACAAGAAAACAAGACATTACTAAAGGTGATTTACTCACTGAAGAAATAAACAAAGCAGAGGACTTTTTCAACGGAAATATTTCACTCAAGAAATTAATAGTCTGACCAGTGGTGCGCTTTTGGACAAACGGTCCAGAATTCGGACTTTGAAGCCATTCTTGGACAAAGCTGCACGTTTACGAGTTGGAGGGAGGTTACAGGAAGCAAACTGGACGTATTCACAAAAACATCCATTAATACTCCTAGGAAATGACAAGTTATCTGAACTTTTAATTTGTAAAGCTCACGAACAAGTAATGCAGTCTGGGCTGCAAGCAACACTGAGCCAGATTCGAGAAAAATACTGGATATTAAAAGGAAGACGAATTACGAAAGGATGTGTACAAAAAGGCCTCACTCGTAGAAGAGCGCGCGTAAAGGCTGGACAACAGATCAGCGCGCCACTTCCACGAGAGCGCATACACACAACGCAGGCATTTGAGACCACGGGTGTGGATTTCGCAGGACCTCTGTATACAAAACCGAACAACGAAAAGGCGTACATCACTTATTTACGTGTGCAGTGACGAGAGCTGTGCATTTGGAACTTGTGTCCAGAACAGAAACTTTTCTACAGGCTTTCAGAAGATTAATCCAGAGGCGAGTGTGCAGTATTATGTACAGTGACAATGCAAAGACTTTTAAACGTGCAAAGAGTGATTTAAAGGCTCTATGGAACATCATGAAAGGGAGTGATGCTCAACAAATGTTCAAAGAAAAAAGGATCACGTGGAAGTACACAGTGAAGCGCGCTGCTTGGTGAGGAGCGTGAAGACATGTCTGCGCAAGGTGTTGGGCAGGGCGGCTCTTCAGTTCGAAGAGCTCCAAACACTCATCTGTGAAGTTGAAGCAGTGGTCAATTCACGGCCACTTACTTACGTTCACGCGGAGAGCAGTGAGCCATTGGCTCGCTCTCCTGCACATTTTTTTTTCAAAATCCCGGTCGTAATAGGGTCTTTCTGAATGGAGTTTGGATGTTCTCCCCGTGTCTACTACTACAGGTGCTCCGGTTTCCCCTACCACTAAAAACATGCACACTGTAATGTAATGAGTGAGTGAATGGTGTTTGGTCAGAGGATTTGATGGTCCAGTGTGATCGTCGTCTCGCTTCTGTAGTTACCGTGTGGAGAGAATGAAACAGTATCTAAATTCTGAACATTGTAAAGCACTTTGGGTGACCTTGGTCTGTAAAAACACTGCAAAAAGTCATCTTTAAAAAATAAGAAAAAAAAGTAATATATTGAGCAATATATTACTTAAAATGAGCAAAATTATCTGCCAATAGAACAGGAAGATTTGACTTGACAAGATATTAAAAAACAAGTGAATTTATCTAGCCCGAAAAACCCAGGGATTTCTTAAAACAAGTATATTTAGACTAAAAACAAGTAGATTTGGCTTATTTTAAGAAAAATATTTAAGCATTATTTGCTCAATATGTTGGACTATGTGCTTAAAATCAGCATATGCTAGTGCCATCATCTTCAAATAAGGTTTCATGTAAGTAAATATACCTTAAAGTCAGTAAAGCCACACTTAAAACAAGTACATTTGTCTAGACAAGTAAACCAAATTCAAGAATAATTTCCTTGATATATAGGAAAATATGCTTATATTCGGATATTATCAGGGTCTATGTTAGGTAACATGCACTGATAACTATTATATTTGCCTTGATAATACAAGCAATTTAAGATTTATTCTAGTAAACAAGCACTCAATTTAGTATACAATGCCACTGTAAACCACCTGAAAAACATTTATCAGACTGGGCACTATGAAAATAACATTCATGCATTTGTAACCCGCATTTCAGTTTAGTTTTATTGTTGCGGGTCAGCTTCCGCCACATCTGATGGTTTCCCTTATGATGCGCGCTCCCCCACTTGACGCTCTCCTCCGCTGTACCTGTGGCATGTCATAGCTGCGGGCTAGCGTTACAAAGCTGCACAACTTTGTTATCGGAGCGTTTTTCCCTCTATCATAAAGGTGAGCCTTTCGCCAACTGTTCGGCATCATGCAAATTAAATGTCCATGTTGCAAACCGCATGATCAGTCGCTAATCTCTGCAAACTCTTTGTAGACTCCACGCTTCCATGTGGGCGCGTGTGGAGTAGCGTCAAAGCCCACGCAATTCAAGGTACGCTGTTTACTTTATTCATAAACAAGCCAACCCGAATTGTAGGCAGTAAGTTAATGTGTAGATAAATATCTTTGTTTACCGCAGTGAGTGTTTGTTAATACCGGTTAGACACTTTTGTTTGTAAATAACCGCAAATCCCCAGTGATGTCCGGATTGACAACACCTGATTATTGTAGCTACGTCAGAGACTCTAAAGTTTGTTGCGCAACACTTAGTTATCATGCAAATTATGTTCCCATGATAACTGAAACATTTAGAGAAGATAATTATTATTAGTGCACTATGATCCTGAATTGAAATACATAATTTATTGATTACCAAAGTGCGTTTGATGCACTGGAAATGACATTTTTGGTTGATCCCTTTTGGATCTACACCCGTGAATGGATGATTCCACATACTTGTATGTGTATTATTTAATTGTACTACATTATGTAATGTATGCAGCTATCTTTTGAAATATTGACTATGTAAATGTAAATATTTATTGAAGTACTCTCATTGAAGTGTTTAAGCATTAGTGTATACTGAGACTTTTCTATTGATGAAATGTTGACATGTTAATTTAATTGAATGTGATTTGAAATTTGATTTAATCTGCAGTTTTATATTGTAAATATCTTGTATCTTATAGATACATTGAAGTTAAGTTTAGTCAACTAAGAGCATTACATAGCTAACTCTTATTTTCCTAATATTCATTTGTCTTTTTCTGGCCTCTTGTCAGGTCCGGTTTTTTGTACTGAGCTGTTTCCACACCTCATCCTGATATCTCCCTGTCCCTGCCATGGACTCCTGGTAGGATAAAAGACTATCAATTAATTTTTTTCCTTTACGTCCAACGGACAATATTGGACTATCGTGGACTATTTCGGTTTCTTCTCTTCTCTCCCTTTGAATGGGAGCACGGACTCTAACACAGAGCGTGTGAATCGTGAGAACAGTATCGTTATCAGCGAGGTTGTGGCTGTCAGTATTGTTATATTGTTATTCTGTACAATTTTGTGTTATTTACTTTCTCCTTTTAATACAATACCAAACTAAAAACTCAATCAGTTGTTTTGTATCACTCACTCTACACCTCACAACCCAGGCTCCTTCCCGAACCAGTCTTTTGAATAGTACTCAGAGTTGAATCGCAGTCACATCTGGCCTAAACAACCTGTTGTTACACATTTCTTAACAATGTCTTTATTGCTTTTCATCAACATTTTCTCTAAAGTAGAAAGAGTAAAATCCTGAATTTATACTATTACAGTAAAAATCTGTTGAGTTTTCATATAGTTCTCTGTTTTGTTACAGACAAGTTTCAGCCCCTCTGTCTGTCAACCCTGTCCATTGAAGATTCGGAAGACGTATATATCTTTGGCATTTTGGTGGTGGGAATCCTCCTGTTTGGGTTTGGAGCGATTCTCTTCTACCACAAATTCGGAGGCATGGCAGTTCGCAAGATTCACGACCTGCTGGCCGACAAAATTGATGGGATGTACAAGGAGCTTAGCCGCGTTGTGGTTGAGAGTGCCGTGTCTGGACAAAGGAGAGTGGTTTTGGTGGAACAGTTGATAAAAGATCTCGCAGCTCGTTCACTCGAAGGGAATAAAACTCTGGAGTTGAGATTGAATGACATCGTTTGCCAGGCTTGAACTCTCTGACCCGGCATGGATTTGCCCCTGTGTACGGGGTCTGAGGGCGCCGCAATTCGGTTTAATTGGATTTAATAGAATATCTGCCTGCTTTTGACTGCTACATTGCATTAATATTGTCCCCCTGAGGCGATGTGTTTTCTCCTCCTGTGCCTTCTCTCCACTCTTATCTCACATTCCTCGGCCAAGGCCATAATAACAAAAGTCCCATCTACAACAACTCACACTATTCAGTCTCCAGCTTGGATCCCCTACCCCCGCCTCCCTCTACCTATCCATCTTGCTCCCTCCCTCCCCTCCACTCCTCACTGTGTTTCCGACTCACCCCCCTCCCTGACCCCGCCCCCCTCTGACAGCCACATTGGCCGGCTGTCGGAGGTGCTCATCCCGAGAAAAAATCCGTGCTTTATACAAAGCACAATGTGTCTATCCAACTGTCTGTGAAACTGTATGTTATTGCTCTCTGCTGTTTATTCTACTGTTTGTCGCATGGCGCCGTAAAGATGGCGCCGTGGCAAGAGCTCTGGTGTGTGTCGTCTTCTCTGTCTGGGGCACACCGGGGTAGTCTTGCACAGTTTTTCCAATGTGGTTTTACTGCAAATGGCAAATAAATGAATCTGAATCTGAATCTGACTACTATTGGTACGAAAACCCCCAAAAACATTTGGTTTTACCAAGAGTTACTACAACCAGAAGATAGCAGACAGGCAACTACAGCTCTTCACTCTGGGGGCAGAGTGTAGCACTATAGCTACCTGTTTCCGGTAACTGCTGTCTGATGCAACTAAAGCTAGGTAAAACCAAATAGTTTTTTTCCTTTACTGACTGTACTGTGACTGGAAATGGTAATATATGTAAAAACTCGTCAGATTACTTTGTTAACGCACTCAAACACAGCGCAGCTACAAGAGCCACCTAAAAAAGACATTTAAGGCAAAAGAAAAAAGAAAACAAAAATACATTACGCTGGCATCAATATCCTCTTTTGGGAAAGTCAACACAGGCATGGACCCAATAGCCAGTATGCAGTTGGTTTAACAGACAACTACGACTGGGCTGGAGAGTGTTCTTGCTTGTAGAAAGGTGTTGGGGTCGTCTGAAGGCTGACACACACAAAAAGAACAATATCTTTATTAATGAATGGTTAAATTATTTAAAAATCCATATGGCTTTACGTTTTCTTACCTCAAGGATGTGAAGCAAAGCCTCACTTGCATTTCCCAACCTCTTGGGTGGAGCCACAGGTGATGGGAATAAGTTTGGTAACGCCTTCACCAGGGCGATTAACTGCTTTGCTGTTTTAACACTAGGAGCGCCCCTAGCGGTCATCTGACCGTCACTCACTTTAATATGCTAATTAGTGTATTCAAAACAAAACGCCAGAAGTTGAAATTTTATGACTTTTACTGGGTACTTGTTGTTTATATTTTGGTGTGTTTTGTTTTTGGAAAAAGTAAAGAAAACAAGATTTACACGCATTTTAACTTTTCTAAACCACAGCCATTTCTGCTGCCCCATAGGGATACATGGCGCAGGGGCGACTGTTGTCATAGTAACCTTTCCCGGGGTTTTTTCGCGCCTTATACAAATGTATCAATATGTTGTCATTAGACTCTAAAGGGACTTGAGGTTTTTATTTGGGAGAGAGAAAGAGTTTTGAATTGAGAGGAGTACAACATGAATAGAGCTGCAAGTACACGGTATGAAGCCCAGACAGTGCTTCAAGACATTGAATGAGAACAGTCTGACGGAGGTGAGATGTCACAGCGGGGAGAACACTTATAATATTCTAAATCTGAACGTAAACCCGTAGTGCATTCACGGCACGGACAGCAGTGTTGGAACAAGTCCAGAAGCAATAACGCACATGACCCGCGTAATACCAGCCATACGCAGGTGTCTGTGTGCGCGCTGTTGCTCCATTCTGCCTTTTCATTCATCATCAATTACATTCTTATATTTATACATAGAAGAAGGCAATAAAGCAGAATACAATATCGCAATAAAATAGAACAATTAGATGAACTATCAAGGCAGAGTGCAGATGGAGCGCTGTGAGGCCTCTCGTCACCCGCGGACACCTGCAGGAGGAGAGCGACTGTGGGTCAGAAGCGGCCCTCATCATATCAATAAGGATATCTTTCTTATTTCATTCAGATAACACTGTGTGTTATTCTGCACAGCGCGCACTGCAAGGCAATGATTATAATTTTCTTCTGATCATAAAAGCAGCACTGCTTGTCTCAAATAAATACAAATATATATATATAACGTGTCCCGTGTAAAATTGAAGATTGTACATTGACGATGGTAGCCTAGCTGATGATCTTGTGTCAATACGAATACTATTATTATTATCGAGATAATATTTCCCACAGTGATTTCGGCCTCTAAAGAGAAAACAGTCTGGAGATGACGTAAGAAGTAGACGCATATATAGCAGCGCGAAGACGTTATGGTCCCGTGCTTTTCTAAACTATCATTTATATTGTTTGAATTGACATATTGTTACTGAGTCAAATTTAACATATAGTGACCGACCTTTTACGTGTTTGCAAAGTTACAAAATAAATCTAGCCAGAAAAGTCTTCGTAATTTTTTTTTTATTTCGGCTGGAATTACAATTACTTAGCATATTTAGACAAATAATTTACACAGTTTCATTATGATCACGATTTCCTTGCAACAACAAATTCTGGTTTAGTGAACAATCAATTTGGCAAAAGGCTGTATCAGCGCAAAATACATAGCGGTCAACTGACCGCAGGGGGCGGTACAAGGTATGTTTAGAGCACGGCGGTCCTAGTGTTAAAAAAAAGTTGGTTTTCCTGCAGTGAGTAATTAAACAAACATTCATGTTCTGTTATCTTATGTATAATATATCATATATTATCCCAATTGTTATATTCTGTATTAACCTTTGCCCATCAGTGGAGGCCTCATGATTTTCTTGAAAACTCGATAAAACTGTGCTCTCTATAAAATGTATACATTTGCTTACATGGTCCAAAACTCCAAAGCAGGGATACGCCTCAAGGATCTTGACAAGCCTGTCCTGCTCCTTTGTCACGTTGTCAAGGTTAAGGAGCTGGGCAACATCCTTCTTGTTTGGCCTGGCCTTGGTTTTATAATTTCTTGCCTGATTCTGTAGACCAGGGGTGCTCACACTTTTTCAGCATGCAAGCTACTTATAAAAGGATCAAGTCAAAATGATCTACCTACTACAAAAATGCAAATCATATATTTCAAAAAAAATATTTATATCTACAATGTATGTTTATGTACATGCAAAACCGCATGAGCCAATATAGCACAACACAACACAATTACCTATGTACATTTTTAGTCATTACCCGAGTTTACTCTTATGACTGAATTGAATCGGCCAGGGATGCATAGTCCGGAAAATTGGTGGTAACTCGCTGACAAGTTTGTCGTGGTTCAGCTTTCCTGCACTGAGCGCGGTTGTTTGCGCATATGCAGTCACCTAAGTGTCAGTAAAACATTACTGAGTAAAACACAGATGTCATTTGACTGTGGTGCCATGTCCATGTGCCATGCCTGGTTTTTTTAAATCCAAATATTTCCCCTCCTCAGTTTATAAAATAATTTGCATCCACACATCTGCGTTATCAATCACATTCGTAACATTCCAAACATGTGCGTCTCTTACGTCCTGTCCTGCGTTGGGGAAAAACACAGAAGTGGGCGGAGCTTTGATGCAGACGCCGGTAACGGCACTTTTACAGTCATAGAAGACACTCAGAGTAAAGACGTATGTTTACAAGCACTGACCCCGTCCTCAGCCCTGGTTTAGTCCTGGTTTAGTCCTGGTTTAGTCCTGGTTTAGTCCTGGTTTAGTCCTGGTTTAGTCCTGGTTTAGTCCTGGTTTGGTTGTTTTCAAGCGTGAGTCCCCGCGATCACTTTGCTGCTCTCTGATGTGGAGCGAGGATGTTTGCTGCTGCGAGCATCTCACAGCAAACAGTTTTTAAGGTAGTATGATCCATGCTTCAGTGATCAGAGGAATTTAGGGGGGTACTGTGGCGTGCGAGAACGCAAAACTCCGGTTATCTCTGTCTACACACAAATGCATTAACGGAGTTTTCAAAAATCTCCACTTTGCCCGGAGTTTTTTGTATATATTCGTTTAGAATGTGTAATTTTTTTATTTATTTAATGCGATCTACCAATACTACCTTTGCGATCGACTGGTAGATTGCGATCGACGTATTGAGCACCCCTGCTGTAGACTGTCTGAAGATTCTGGTGCTACAAAAACAAACAAAACATCAAAATAATTAAACATAGCAACAATAAACGTTGAGAACTGAACTTCCAGGTTAACTAGGCCATAAAGGACAACCAAAATTCTCTGCATGTTCTGGTCAATTTTTTGGCATTTTTCTGAAAATTAGATACAATCTCACATTTGACCATAAAACTGTCTGTGTGGCTCCCTCTCTACAATTTTGGTGACACTACATTTGAAATTGGGGAATGTAGAGTGCAGTGTGACATCACTTTGTACAGTGTGAGCCCGTCTCTCTGTGCCTGTGGCATATATTATGGACAAATGAACAAACAAATGCATTTTACAAATATAGTTGGTGGGGTCTGCATCATTACAATGATGCCAGAACAGCCACTTCACTGTGACAAATTAAAATGAATGTCATAATCGTGCTAATGTCAGCAAAATAAATTCAGTTGTTCGCTGCCAGTTTAGAAATGGCGCCTATGAAAGGGCGATTGACTGGGCGCCAGAGCTCTAAGCTAACGCTAACGTTAGCTCTAAGCTAACGCTAACGTTAGCTCTAAGCTAAACAGATGTCCATAATCCAAAAGGAATCAAATGTTTCATTTGCACAATAACACTGTTTATGGCATTTTAAAACAATTAATAACCTCAAATACTACCGCTTGTGTGCTTATTAGCAGTTTACAGTGGACATTTAGGGTAACTAGTTTTATTAGCATGCTCATGTTATGTGTTGAACGGTTGCACCAGACCAGTTCAAATAAATGTTAAACTTTCTGAGAGAAAGTCTGGATATAAATAAACATACATACCTCTTAGTATTTCAGCTGCTACATTATCCATTTCTGCGTCCATGGCGTAAAACAATTTGCTGAATTCTCTTTCTTCCAACTCCAGGTCCGAGACTGAGCGTTGTGCTCAGTGTTGCCAACTCCTCAGTAAGGAAAGTAGCTATTGGCTGTCCCAAAAGTCGCTAGAAGTCGCTAAATGACGTCATCGCCTAATTTGCATAATTTGCCATTTGCAAATAACTGTAACGGACGCTGTAGGAGAGAGGAATAAGGTCGTGGGAGAGACAAAAGTGAGTAAAAACACCCTAAATATGTTTAGAACTACAAATGTACAAAAATAATTTCAACATTAACAACATTTAATGATTTTAATGCTTTGTCTAGATCCACATTACACACATCAGTTTTGTCCTGTATTGTTAAATGTTATAACAGCAAATGTAATCAAAAGATTGTTATGTAGGGTGAAATTGCTAGCTCTACAACCAACCCTCCTCCTTTATCCGGGCTTGGGACCGGCAAAGTGACCCAAAAGACACACTCTGGCAGAGTTACTTAGGTTTATTTTTGTAAGTTTTTTTTTTTTTCATAGTTTGGCATAACAAATGATTTAATGTGACCCACTACTGAGAGAAAACAGAGTCACGGACAGAGCTGCCGCGGATGGAGTGGGGGGTAGTGGGGGGTGGCGGTGGTAGGAGTGGCCGGGGAGCTTTGGATGTGTGGTGGTGGTGGAGCTGGAGTTCAGTCTGCAGCAGCCTGAAAACTTCTTGTGCTTTTGAGTCTCCTCTCTCTCTCTCTGCTCCGCCCATAGACTGTAGCTGGGACTGCTGCGCAAGGCTACTGTGAGACTGGCCGCCTGTAAGTGCTTTGGGACGGGGGAGGGGCTCACGTTGAGGACAGCAGAACAATACGTGCTTCACAAGTCTCCAAAACACCAGATAAGTCGCCAAAACACCAGATAAGTCGCCAATAACACCAGAAAAAGTCGCTAGATTTGTCGCTAGTCGCTTTTTTGAAAAAAAGTCGCTATAGGGGTCTGAAAAGTCGCTAAATCTAGCGACAAAGTCGCTAAGTTGGCAACACGTGCTGTGTGCTTTCTTCCCGCTATGACATGGAAGCTACCATTTCATAAAAGGGGGTGACCAAAATATTTCAGATGTTGTAAATGTTGATAGTACGCTTAAGTAATGTATAAATGGGACAAATACTATACACGTAATAATAATATAGCATTAAATTTAAATTCACGGCTAATTCTAAATTATATTTTCCATAAACATATAAAACCTCTTGACACAGGCCTCCCCTATAACATTGTAGTATCCTGAACATATTCTTGGGTTTCATTAACCTGGCCTGTAGGGGGCGAATGAGCAGAGGTGGGACACCTCAGTTTTGTAACCATAAAAACCATGTAAATCGTGTCTGTTTTGTTGTACACGGTCTTAATTGGGAGGGGTACACTAAATTCTAAGGGAGTAGTAAATAATATTTCTCAAAAGATTTCTTGATTACAGGCCTTTAAAAAAAATTATAAAAAAAATAAATAAACAGAAGACATTGCTGCGTTTCATTTGGGTGGCCTGCAGGGGGCGCTTATCTGGGAAAGCCTCGATCCACCTCGCCCGGCTTCAAAATATTTTTTCAAAGTGCACTCCTTTATATTAGATCACAGTTGGAACATGAACAAACTTTTGTTTTGCATAACATTAAGCCCCATGAAAATGATGGATGATAAACTTAAATGAAATAACTTTGATAAAACTAAATCCAATTTCAGATAATATTTACTTTCTATGTGTTACAACATTCAACCCGATCAACTTCCAGCCAACTCTGGCATCATGGAGCAGAACTTCTCTCCACCTGTGACGACGATCAATTGGCATCTTATTACACAAACAGCAGCCAATGTACAAATTAAATACTATATTGAGGATGTAATGGAACTGCACAGTTGTTTCAAATGCTTGATCCTAAATTGTTGCGTAATATTTAAATATTATATTGTTTTGGTGTTTGCAATGAATCATTGAGCAAAAGGGGTTCACTCGTTATTTAACTTTTTAATCTTAAAAATAATAAGCAATTAATGCTTGAAATACAAAATATTAACTTGGACCAAGCAGTTTCATACTTCTAAGCGTCCCTGTGATACGGTAATTCTCAATATAAGCATAAAACTGCTCATAATCAGCAAAAAAATCTCAATAACAAGTTAGAAATCCTTATTAAGATTATTAAGATAAATACCTCTTAAAATAAGTGAAATGCTCTTACACTAAAACGGTTTTGTAAGAAGAAATGGCTTGGCAGATAAAAAAACTAGACATTTTTGCTTAAATTAAGATTCCTTCCCTTAGTTAGATTTTAATTTTTGCAGTGAATGCGCTATATATATAAAGATTACTTACTTACTTATAACTAAATACATATATTTCAGTGTTCCCCCCACACTGGACTGATACTATGGCAGACTATAACTGTTTAAACTACATCAGCCGGATTGTCTCTTTGGAGATGTTGAGTTTCTTTAACAGGCCCCTGGTAAACATAATCATTTCATTACAAAACAGATGCTTAGCTCCATCTACACTCACTGCCCATTAAAAAATACACCCAAATGTACTTTCAACCCACATAATATTGCTTTGCCAAAGAACATAACAATATCTTTCCATTTTCCCATATCCGGTGTAAGGGGCCGATGTTGCGGCAGGAAACGCACAAAAGCATTTGGATGTGTTCGGCTTTTTAATTAGCCTAAAAAGTGTCAAAAATACAAATAAATGAGCAACTGAACATGACAAAACTGACCTGACACAAAACACACAAGGAGAATATTTAAACTGGGTGATCGAACCAACTCTCAATAAACAGGACTAACAGCTACACAAATACATACATTTATTTAAATTAGCTTAAGGTTAATAAAAGTAAATAAGCTTAGCAATTATAATGAAAATCCTAAAAATATGGGGAACTTAGGTCTACAGTAACTGTAAAAATGTCAATGTGCACTTTCCTACAAACTTTCCTACAAACTTTCCTACAAACTTCCCTACGGGGATAAAAAATCCCCGTAGGGAAGTTTGTCCTCTGCATTTGACCCATCCTGATGCCACTAAGGCGTCTATTAGGAGCAGTGGTTGCCGTAGTAACAGCCCCCGGGAACCCATCTCCATACGTTGATGCTCAGCTTGGTCAAGAGCGGAGCTGGAGGATTCTACCTATTGTGGTAGGGGAAACCAGAGCATCCGGAGGAAACCTACACAGGCACAGGGAGAACATGCAAACTCCACTCAGAAAGACCCTGTTCCGACCGGGATTCTAATTCTTCTGGACCTGCCAAGGTTCAGGCCCATATAGGGTGGGGCCTGGAGGTAACACCCCCAGCTGGAGTGGGTGTAGGTGGAGTCAGCCCACACGTCTGGCAAAGAAAGAGCAAATATGTTACCAATTAGAGGTAATATGTATGAAGAAGTAAGTAGGTGAGTAAGTAATGTTTATTTATATAGCGCATTTTACAGACCAAGGTCACCCAAAGCGCTTTACAATTTTCAGAATTCAGATCTTGTTCCAATCATTCCACACATTGTGATGACGGAAGCGAGTCGTCGAACACACTGGACCATCAAAGCCCCCAATCAACACCATCCATTCACTCATACCTATTGTGCATGTTTTTAGTGGTAGGGGAAACCGGAGCACCCAGAGGAAACTTACGCAGACACGGGGAGAACATGCAAACTCCACTCAGAAAGGCCCTGTTCCAACCGGGATTTGAACCCAGGAGCCAAGCATCCAGAACGAAGACAGTTTTCTACATTGTGATATTATATTTGCCTTGAGAGTGAACTTTTCCCCTTTCCCTTCATTGCAACTCGATTTCTCCCATTTCTCCCATTTTTACTCATTCACCAATTTTTTCTACTTCCAACCACGAGAAAACCCTTCATTAACTTTAGTATCAAGCTTAAAAAATGACTTTAAACTACACAAAGTTCAATTCTGCGACTGTGCGTTCCCAACGAAATGAAAATATAGGTTGCGACAACGACTATAAATGTGTGCGACAGGATCTAAGAGGAACCTTGAGAATTTATTTGAGTCTGCGGTGTAATAAAATGTAAATGTTTGCGAGGCAGTCAGTTCTCGTTGAGGTATCGTCAAGGGAAATATAAAACACAAATCGTGTTTTTTGGCTGGAGTTGAAAGGAAAAGTGGATTTCAAGTAGTTCAGGGTAAAAACATTCACTCTGTCTGCTGCGTGTGAGGGAGAGGGTTTTTGCTCTGGATTATGGTGGAGCTCAATTCTTTTGCTTTTCTGACCGGACTAGAATCAAGGGCAGCTCAGAGATTCTCACACAGATGTTAAAGTCATTAGCAAATGGGCAATAGATCAGCATGAGACAATATTGGCTTGTTTCATATTTTTTACTTTAATTTATGAGTGCGTTTAACTGACAGCACTACAAAACCAAAATCAATTAATCAAAAGAATAATTGTCCAACTAATTCATAGTCAAAATAACCGTTTATTACAGCCTTAACACTTCAGCGCCGCAGAAGTTTTTTCCTAAGAGGCTCAATTTTGTCATCTTAATTAACTTAAAAGTGATAAGAGACAGAAGCTTTACGTATATTAGAGAAATGATTAGAATGGCCCAATATTTATGTAGGAATTAAATGTACCCATCTGATTTGCATATTATGACTTCCTATAGTGGTGGCAATCGTGGATTTTCATCGTTTTTATTAATTTTTTTACTGACAGATCACTAGGACATGAACAGGGGCAGGGAAATAGTAAAACAGAGTAAATAATTTTGTGGCAGGCAGTTTGAATGTATTTTAACACCCTGCGTGACACAATCGGTCGCTTTAAGGGTTAAACTACTCAGGTTTTTGTAATATACAGTTACTTTTTGTGGTTTGAGAGGGAAGAAGCGCAGGGATAAGTGTAAGTCAGATTTAGAGGTGCTTAATTGAGGCAAACAAATGCAGGTGTATTTTGTTTATTGTATTTTAACCTTCTTTACAAATAGTAAAGCTAGGCCTCCCAGAGATAGTAAAGTACCGGAACTCCAAGGCCGTCATTTTGACCGCTCAGAT